ACACTAGTGTGCCGCGAGATGTTGCCTGGTATGCCGTGGGAAAAATTGAAAAATTCGAAACATTTAAAAATTAAGTATTTTATAATTTTTCATATTTCTGTTTACTTACTATTTCATAATAAAGTAATTATAAACTACTTTCTTTGTGTTTATTTGATTCCTATTCAAGAGAATTACTTTATATATAGTCAATATAGGCACAGAGTTAAATTTTTTCTAATGGTGGTGTGCCGCGTGATTTTTTTCATGAAACAAGTGTGCCTTTGCCCAAAAAAGGTTGAAAAACACTGTTTTAGACCACAGCGCCACCTGCGTCCCTCTACCAGTTTAGTTCTGGCCTCAGAACTAGTTCTTTTTTATCACTTGTTTAATACAGCATTTGCTTAATGGGAAGGTATGCATTATATGAGTAGATCAGTTACCTTGCATTACATAATTTTGCAATCAATAAAACTGCTTCTAATAAATAACTATTGGGTGTTTATGGTAACTATCATAGGCGAATAGGAAAGACCTTTCAAAATAACTTTGAAAAGTTATTTCTACCTATCATTGGTATAGTTATTAAGAGGCGTGTTACCTCAGCAAATGGCATTTAGAAACATATTATGGATGTTTAATCTTGAATATATATCTACAAGGGAGTTGCTCAAATTCCATCTCCTGATGCCATGAAATCCAAAATGGCATCTCTGCAGATACCAAATGCTTGTTTTTATAAGGAGTGCATGCATAGCGATTCCAAGCCATTTATGGCTGCTAAACAGGTGTTTTACATGCATTGCACATATTTTTCGAAACGCAAGCTTGTCTCCTTCACAGATTATGGGTTTTGGGTGAAAAGAAATGTTCGAAGCAGCCCCCATTCTGGTGGCCCACGAGATCAGCCACGATGCGAAGCCAAAGGAAATGCCACACATTTCCCCCTTCCCAAGGAGGCTGCCTTCTCCACTCCGAGGTGTTCTGCAAGTGTTGAATGTAGGGCAGGCTGACTCAGCATTGCAACCACACTGCTAGGCACCTACGCAGGAGGGGAAGAGAGCCAGACATGGGCTCCGTTAAAAGCACTTGTTGGCTGAAACACCAAAACCAAAAATGGCCCATATTTTAGAGGTCTGGGTTGGTTGCCATAGATTCATTTCAGCAGACATTCCTGGAAGGAGCTTGAAAAGCTGTCTATGGTTTTTTAACTGTTATGAGTGAACAGAAACCTCCTGAGAAGTCACTCAGGGAAATATGCAAGAGAAAAGCAACCACATGCCCTCCATCAGCTTTACACAGGGCAGGACCACCAGCAGGGTTTTCCGGGACAGGTACAAAATGTGTAGTTGCCTAAACTGCCCCTCTGCAGATCTGGCCCAAAGTATTGGGGGGGGGGGTAACATACCAAAGTATGATGAGCAGACCTCAATCTCTCAGAGCAAAGTGCTCTGAGCTCCAGGAAAAGAAACTTTGTATAGGCTTTTCCCTCCCCTTTGCAAGGGCACATGGGACAGTTTTTTCTCATGAGCCCATTGCATAGACAAGATACTGGGCAAAACCTTGCCCAGTATTTTGCAGCAATCTGTGGGTCACGGTGCGGCCGAGCAAAGGTGCCATGCGTTTATTGGGCACAGAGCGAGGCTCCTTGGTATATTAACCAGTAAGAACTTAAAGAAAACTGGACTGCGTTGCTAGTTGTTTAAGAGCAATGTGTTTATTTGTCTTTACACCTCTTTTTTGTAACAAATTTAAGGACAGTTTGCAGTAAAACTTTGGAACTCTTTTCTTGGTGTGGAGAGCTTACTGAGTCACACTCTGCGCAAGGTCCAGATCAGGGAATTGCATTCACATAGCTTTAACAAGAAGCCCACACGTACCTCTGCTCGGAAGCGCAGGAGGAGGAAGGAGGTGCTCAGGAACAGAAGCCCAGCACTTAAGCTGGAGCAGAAATCGGTTTCACTTCCAGAGGACACCCTTGTATGCAATGGCAATGGCAGCTGGGAGTTGGGAAGACCCACTTGCCTCCCAAGCAGAGCTGCAAAGGCACCACCATCACACCTGGGACTGAGCTCTGCTCCTCACCTGGCCCATTTTGCAGCATCATTGTAACAGCTCAGTACTTAGCAAGTGAGTGATTGCAAAAGGCATTATCCCCTGGGTAGCTTTTTAAAAAAAATTGGTTATTTATTGTGTGATGGTATGCTTGTTTTTCAAAAAAGGAAACAATTTCACTTTTTCCTTTATTTGATGTCTCTTAACTTCAATGCCATCTTTGTGAGCCCCTTAGGGATAGAGGTAAAGGTAAAGGTACCCCTGCCCGTACGGGCCAGTCTGGCCAGACTCTAGGGTTGTGCGTTCATCTCACTCTAGAGGCCGGGGGCCAGCGCTGTCCGCAGACACTTCCGGGTCACGTGGCCAGTGTGACATCGCTGCTCTGGCGAGCCAGAGCCGCACACGGAACACCGTTTACCTTCCCGCTAGTAAGCGGTCCCTATTTATCTACTTGCACCCGGGGGTGCTTTCGAACTGCTAGGTTGGCAGGCGCTGGGACCGAACGACGGGAGTGCACCCCGCCGCGGGGATTCAAATCGCCGACCATGCGATCGGCAAGTCCTAGGCGCTGAGGTTTTACCCACAGCGCCACCCGCGTCCGATCTTAGGGATAGAACTATTAAGCATTTAGAAAGAGAGAGAAATCCTGCTATAAGCTGCTTTGGGCCCCTGGGATGGAGTATGGAATCTAAATAAAATCAAACCAAATCACAAACACCAGCGTTTCTTCCTCCTCCTCACCAACCCCACACAAATAGGCATTCAAAAAAGAGAGAGAGAGACTGATAGGGCTGCCTTTCTTTCTCTCCCCCCCTTCTTTTTTACACCTCAGCAAAGTTGTTGAGCTTTTCGCGGGGGACATCTCCCCCCAAAGACTTAGTCTTTGTAGTGGTGGTTGTTGTTTTTGGATTTTCACAACAGTTTTTCTTTTTTAAAAACCGCCCTAGTTGCCATACATTTGGGTTTCCCCCAGACATTTGGCTGATTGATTAAAAATCCACCCGGACACCATTTTGACAGTCCTGTTCCCAGATGTGTCCAGGAAAACCTGGACATATGGCAGCCCTAGACACTGAGGCAAATGCAGGCCTGTCAATTGTCAGCTGCTGGTTAATTTGCGGCAAAGTTCCAGAAGCCGAGAAGCGGCCATCCAGCAGAAGGGGGGAGGAGGGGGAAGAGGTCTCAGAAAGAAGTTGTGATCCGAACGAAGTTCTAGAGACTTGGCAGGAATGCTGAGCAAAGTGGAGATCAGAGGAAAGAGAAAGTTTGCTTAATTGTGTCTCTCCCCCCTTTCCATTGACATGGCAACTCTTCTGTGAAATCGCATGCAGTATTTGAGAAAGAAAGCTGCCGTTTGTAGGACTAGCCGCCTGAGAAACAGTTTCTTTCCAAATGTGCTTTTGGTTTTAAACACAGTGTAAGGAGTCTCTCGGGACGCGGGTGACGCTGTGGGTTAAACCACAAAGCCTAGGACTTGCCAATCAGAAGGTTGGCGTTTCAGATCCCTGCGACAGGGTGAGCTCCTGTTGCTCAGTCCCTGCTCCTGCCAACCTAGCAGTTCGAAAGCACGTCAAAGTGCAAGTAGATAAATAGGTACCACTCTGGTGGGAAGGTAAACGGCATTTCCGTGAGCTGCTCTGGTTTGCCATGCTGGCCACATGACCTGGAAGCTGTACACCGGCTCCCTCGGCCAATAAAGCAAGATGAGCGCTGCAACCCCAGAGTCGGCCACGGCTGGACCTAATGGTCAGGGGCCCTTTTACCTTTTTAAGGAGTCTCTATGTCTTTTACCTTTTTAAGGACTCTCTTTTTAAGGAGTCTATATTGTATTTTAAAAATGGGGTATCAGAGTTTTTAGGGGGCTAACCAGTTTGGGATTAGCAGGCTTGTTGGTTTTGAATGTCTTATGTAGATTCCCCCCCCCCCCAATTTCATTGTTCTGTATGGGACAATGACAATAAAGATTATCGTATCGTATCGTATTGTAGCTGGGTCTTAGGGGTGGAAGAGGCAGCCGGTTGGATTGAAGCACTGAGAAGGGCCGGACTCCCGTTCCTCCCTCAGCCTTCCTTGGGGAAAAGCAAACAGGTTCATGTTTGTGGTGCATAACAGGTGCATGACAGCGATTGGAGTCTTCCGCTTGCATTTATGGTAGGTCACAAGAGATCTGCATCTGATTGCTGCATCTGATTGGCCTAGGAAGCTGCCCAAATTGGAGAGTCAGGGATTGTACCTGGCCCCTTCTGCCTGCAAGCAGATGCTATGGCCTTGAGCTGCCTCTACAATGTGTAAACCCAGCCCCTGGCCTGGCTCACCAGTTCTCTTAAATATTTCACCACTAAGAAAGTTTTCAATTCGAAAAATGTGAACAGACAACTCGATATTTCTGTCTTTTTATTCATTGTTTAAGTTACTGAATAAATACAAATAACTCGTGTTTTTGAATTATAATTTGCAGGTGCATAAATACAAGTTATATAAATAGGTCTTATAAATACAGCTGGAAGCAAGTTTCTCTTTGCTTCTCCATGAGTTTCACATTTCATATGCATTTATATCATGACATAGAACATACAATTCAATAAGACTGACCAATAACATGGGGGGTAAAGGATGCAACACTCATTACAAGGCAGGACTTTTACATTTTTGGCAAGTGAAGAGAAGAGGCCGTTTTAGCTAGGAGAGATTACTTTGTCATCGTGGCCTGAGGCCAGGAGGAATATATATTCAACATTTTCATGGCCTACTTAAATGTTTTGAAACAAATGGCATTTTAAAGTTGTGTCATCTAGTAAGAAAGTTGCGCAAAATCTTTCCTAATTCTATGGTGTCTTTATTTCTTCTCATCCCTGAGATAGCAGTTTCTTTCTCTTTTGAGTCATCAAAGAATGTGATTTGGATTCGGAAAGCATCAGCCTGGAGTGGTGGATCATTTACCTCCGTTGGTCAATTCTCTGCTTCTTTCAGGCACTTCTGTTAGCATAGGTTCTGGTGTTTGCCATGACGCAGGTGCAACCAACATTAATCACTTCTTTCTCCAGCCAAAAGGTCTGCTGGCAACCAACCTGCTTCCGTCGAAGAACCATGATCTCCTGCTGAATAGGAACAGAATTCAGGGCTATGTTTGGTTTGCCTTTCCTGTCCAGACAGAAGGCATGGCGGCAGGTGGCTTTCGAAATCACATGGGGAAACCTGTTGGGATCTTCGTGAATGCTGCAAATACAGAGGTAAAAGGAAGGCAAGACTGTTAGTTTATCAGAACACGTAGAGCCTTGAAACTGGCTGCATACGATGGGAAGCTAAACGTTTGCTCCTCTCCAGCGCTAAATAAGAGTCTTGGCCAAAGAGAAGCAGGAATGGCCGCCTTGTAGAAAGGTCTGTGAGCGGGGAAGGTAGGGTCTCTTTGCATGGAAGAGACTTCCAAAGGTTCACACATCTCAATCCTTCAAGGAAGAGAGGCTGCAAGTTATCAGAAAGTGAAGGAAATGGCTGCTTATTGACTACTATATTAATAATATATTATCATGTGATATGCAATACAATCTGTCAGTTTGCCAGTTCCTCTTCCGTGACAGGGGTCGAGAGCCTCAGCCACTGCCCTTGGGGGTACAAATATGGCCCTCCAGTCTCTTAAGACTCTCCAGGCCACCCCACCCCCCTCACTGGTTCTGCTCTTTACTTCCCTCTAGTACTGGAATGTGAGAATGCCTCTTGCTTGCCTGAATTGTGGGTGGAGAGGTGAGTGGGTTTAGAAACCTGTGGCTTTTGCGTGGTGGAAACGTTGCTGACTGCCCAATAACAAATGCTGTAAATGTAATGAGACTGAAGGTACCTTTTATCACCTTTGGTGGACCTGCCCGAAGATTAAAGCCTTTTGGGAAATGATCTATAATGAAATTAAGAAAGTCCTTAAATGGACCTTTCCTAAGAAACCTGAGGCTTTTCTCCTGGGCATGGTTGGCCAATTGGTGTCAAGGAAGGATAGGACGTTTTTTATGTATGCTACTACAGCAGCAAGAATCCTTCTGGCAAAGTATTGGAAGACACAAGAACTACCCACTCTGGAAGAATGGCAGACGAAGGTGATTGACTATATGGGACTGGCAGAGATGACCGGCAGAATCCGTGACCAGGGGAAAGAGACAGTGGAAGAAGACTGGAAGAAATTTAAAGTATATCTTAAAAATTGCTGTAAAATTGAGGAGTGTTAAGATGTTAAGGAACTAAGAAACAGAGAATTGCAGCTGTAATCAATAAGTTAAGGGAAAAAAGAATCTAATGAAAGTGAATTAAATAATTAGTTAAATGGAGGAGTTGCTGAAGAAATATAGAACAAGGATGCAGAAAAGGGGAGGTATGGGGAAGTCCGGGAAGTAAGGTGCATGAAAATAAGATTATAAAATTATACATGTTTATATGTTTGTATGTTTTTGTTTTGTGTATTGTTTGTTTTTATTATGTGTTTGGAAAATTAATAAAAATTTATTTTAAAAAAAAAAAAAGGAAACGTTGCTGACTATGTGGAGGCAGGAGACTCTTGCTCCTGACATATATCCCTGGAAGGCTGACTTAAGGGAAATGGGGTCCTTGGGCTGCAAAGGGTTCTCCTCTCCTGCCCTGTGAAGCGAGGGAAGGTGACAGAGAGCCATTCCTGGTTTCAAGCAGGCAGAGGAGGGTGATCCAACGGGAGGTTCTCAAAGCAAGTGCTGCCAAAAAGAATGTGGGATCGGAAACATGCACAGACTGCGTTGATCAAGAGTCTCTTACTTTGGGCTGCTACCATGATTACCTGTGAATGGGCACCTCAAACTGAACAGCAGATATACTCCAAGGGCATAGACCAAGCAGCCAATTACTACCAGTAGACATAGGGCGTAAAATAATAATAATAATAATAATAATAATAATAATAATAATAATAATTTTTTATTTATACCCCGCCCTCCCCAGCCAAGGCCAGGCTCAGAGCAGCTTACAAGCAATAATAAAAACAAGATGAATGATTACAACTTAAAAACAAAAATAAAATACAACATTAAAATAATGGAACATTAAAATATTAAAAGTAGCCTCATCGCAGGAGAAGGAAAAGAAAAAAGAAAGAGAGGGAGGGAATCAAATTGGCTCCAAGCCAAAGGCCAGGCGGAACAACTCTGTCTTACAGGCCCTGCGGAAAGAAATCAGATCCTGCAGGGCCCTGGTCTCATGAGGCAGGAGCAGCCATGGGGAAAAGATGTTCTCAGAAACATTCTGCCATCAGAGAAACACTCTGTGTTCCATACTATAGAGCAGGCTTCCTCAACCTCAGCATTCCAGATGTTTTGAGACTACAATTCCCATCATCCCTGACCACTGGTCCTGCTAGCTAGGGATCGTGGGAGTTGTAGGCCAAAAACATCTGGAGGGCCGAGGTTGAGGAAGCCTGCTATAGAGTCAAATAACTTCCATTTCAAAGGCAGCTGTCTGTAACTACCGTGGTGCAGACTATAGAGTTGTGGCTCTGAAAGCTTTGAGGGCAAGGGCACAAAATCCAAGCAGCCATGCACCTCTGGGGATTTAAGCTTTAGGACCCTCACAACAGGTACCCAGGCTGCCAAAGAGTTCCTCTGTGCCGTTCGAGAAGACACAAATTAGTAGCAATGTGAAGCATGGCTGTTATCATGTGCAGAGTGCCTTTCCCCCATTGCAGGGCAAATTGAACCAGCAGCCCCTCATTGGATGAGGAGCCCCTGTCCAAAGCTACAATTCCAGATAGGGGTGAGCCCTGGCATTTATCAATGAAGCACAACCTGGGAGTAGCAGAAGCAGGATCGGGGGAAGGTCCAAACACCTCAGCAAGAAAAAAACTGCTCCCTTCATGGAAACAATTCAGCTCTCCCTCTCTCTCCAGTCTGTTTCCCAGAAAACCCGGCTGGCGCCTGGGTTTGACAACAGCTACAAAATTGTGTCCTTTCTTGCGGCAGCCCTTGACATTTTAAAGTATTGAAGAACCACGTTGGGTCTGCTATGCATGCTCTGCTTCATAGCCAACACGTTTGATTCAGTGAGAATAAGGACAATACCTGTAATCCCATGGAGATACAGATCTGTTCCTGATGTCCTGAGGCACCTCGCTGGCTGGTTGTGGGCGGCCAATGTGGACCTGGAATGTCAGCGACTTTGGGGGGAAATCCTCTTGGGTTCCAGATTGGGGTGGACAGTTCTCGCTGGGTTCCTCGTTGTTTTTCCCAGGCTTAACTGCTTTTCCAGAAGCTAAATTTATAGCTGAAAGCAGCAGCAGCAACAACCCAACCTGAAAGGGAGAACAGATACAGAATGAGTTGTTTTATCATGTGCAGGTTAGCCAGAGGTATAATCTGAAACTGACATAAAATAGGTTTTTGCAGTTTATACTAGGCACTCTGCTAATATTGAAGTACTTAAAGGGTGCCAGGTTTTACTGAAAGCCAGAGTTGTGACCCTGAAGCCCTTCCTCTGAAGCCTAAAACATCAAGCACTGGGGGCTCACTGGTGAAGCGGCAATACGCTAAACCTGTCTTTTTAAAGAAATAAATAAATCACATATATCAAGCCTAATCCATAGCTGTCAAGTGTCCCTTATTTGGCGGGACAGCACCATGTCCCGCTGCTGTCCCTTATTGATGAGGCTTCATTTGGCTGCTGGCTGGGCTTTCTGCCTTTGGCTCAGAGGGGCTCAGAAGTTACCTGTGCCTGGAAAATCCCTTATTTTGGCTGCTGATCCCTTATTTTCAAATCTGTAAGTTGACAGCTATGGCCTAATCCCTTTCACCAAAAGCAACTTTCAGGACTACTCTCTGTTTGGGAGTTTTGCAGCTGGGCTGAACCGCTGCCAGTTTGTGATAGAGGCCAGGACTGATAGACGGATTTCAAACGAAGACAAAATCTCATTGGCAAAAGTTTGAGGAAAAGCTGCACCATCAAACACTTGTCACAAGTCATTTAGGATGCTAATATTTATTTACTTTATAAATATATATATGTATTTCTCTTACAAAATTATAAATAATAAGGCATGACACAACCCCAAAATGGGTCACTAGGGGTGTAAAATACTAAACGTATTATTTTACAGTGATTACAGTAAACCAGTACAGTGGCTTCTTCAATAAATTCACTTGAAAAACTCAGAATAATAGGAGTGAGCTAAAGAGCATTTCCTGTTTATCCACACTTTATGGCAATATATGTTGTAGGTATTTCTCGTCCATGTGTTGCTTCATTTGTATATTTAATAATACTGTGCCAAACAAATTATCTTCTTTTTCTCTCTCCTTGCCACCTTCAGTTTTTACAACAGCTTTTTCATTATGGCTGTTTGCCAAATTATATTATACCCAGTGGTCGATATTAATTGCAAAGTTTTCCAAGTTCTATTACCATTCTAGCTGCTGTTAGTAAATGCGTTATTAATTCCTAACTTCTTAATCAGTCTATATTTGAAGTATATAAATTAAGTAAGGCAAAAGCTGAGGTTGTTGGGATTGTCTGAACTGTAATCTGAGATATTGCTTTCAAAACTTGCTTCCAAAATTGTTCTATTTGTTGTTCTATTTGTTAATATTTATTTGTGTGCCAATCAAGCAAATAAATTCACAAGGAAAGCAGATGGGACCCTGGGGGGAGTGGTACTTGGGGGGAAAACAATGAAATCCTGCTGAGAATTAATTGATTATATATCAGTCCTCTTTCAAATCTAAAAGTAGCTTTAGGTCTATGAGATTACGAAAAGCATTCAGTTATGTGAAACATTAACCCAGAGCAGGTGGGATCACAGTCATAGCTATGAAGCATTGTTGGTAGCTTATCTACGGGATGAAAATCCCTCCAGAAAAAGAAGTTCATGAATTCAAGGAAATAGTTGTTATTCAAATGCTTTAAACTGTACTGTCCAAATCTATTACATTAATTACACATATTACGCTAATTAAATATAGCTTATTGTTGAAGCTATAATGATGGATGGATGGATAGACAGACAGAAGACTTAGATACCCATTGGCTTCCATTTTTGATAGTAAGTGGGTTGGGAGATTGACGCTTCACTAACAAAATTCTGCATGCGGAAGGAAGACTGATAACAGGATGAAGTAAGAACTAAAATGCAATGTCACACGCCTCTACTTTTTAAGTTGGACACAACTGGGTACTAAGAGTTCTATACACCATAAATGACAATCTATATTATCAGTGTACTCACCAGTGAGGGAAATCTTGTAGAAGCCATAGTAGCTTTTCTTTTCTGCTGCAAGGAGCCTATTGCTGGAGGTTCTGCACCTGAGTATCAGTACCCTGAATCGTGTCCGTATGTGCAATCCCAATCTCCTTTTATACTGTCTTCAGAATCAAAGCCAGTTTTTTCCATTCGCTAGTCTTCCCGCCCTCGGTTGTGGTTCAGGGGCAGCTGTGGCTGACATTTACCCTTTTTTCCCCTCGACCACTTCCTCGAAAGTGTCACATGTCACATACGTACACCAGGGGACAGCAAGGGAAATGCTTTTAATACACCACCTACCTAGTTATGGGGAATCTAGACCAATAGATTTGTTTGAATGAAAAACAGATGGCCTACAAGATAACGGCAAGCTTGCCTGAGAAGCGTTTTTTCCCCTTTCCCCTTTTTAGTGTATTGCATCATTACAACTTACCTATTGTAAAATAGAACAATCTAGTTCTATGTCATACCTTCATAATCTGTGTATGAAAGCACGTAGACAAGCATCCATCATATGGATATAAACTAGACAATTGCCCTGTCAACCCTGCAAAAATAAATTCTGCCACTTTCAACATCCTTTGTACATCATAGGTCTTTTATTTCTTCCACTTCTTCCAGTGATTTCAGGGCAGCATCCTAGTCCCACAACAATTATGTTGGCTGAGCTGGGTTGTGAAGCAATAAATAGGCCCAGTGGACCACCAGCTTCATCGTTTTGAACCCCAAGATTATAGCAACTTACTGCTCCCTTTCAAGCAAATGAGATTGCCTCATGGGGAGTGCAGTGCCCATTTGTTCTAAAGGGAGCCAGGCTCCCTTTCACAGATCTTTTCCTTGGAAAACACATTTTCCCTGCACTCGTGCTGCAATTCTGCATGGCTCCAGCTACAACTTTAGTAGTAATGAATACTGCACAATTGTGGAGCTGTATGTGATAAAGGGGTCTTGGCTGGGCAGTCCAGGACTTCCATATACACTATCCAGATAGGTCACTTCAGTGCTGCTAATGCAGCAAAAACAACACAGGAGGCCGCAGTTATGAGTTAGAAGCTCCACCTGATTGGCAAAAAGTACAAGCGCTATAGCTTGCCTTTGATTGTGCCCTTCCACAAGAACATGCATTGCACTGTCCACAATGATGGCTTTTCTGCAGACACCTTCCCTATAAAGAGTGGTGTGAAACAGGGCTGTGTTTTCGCACCAGCTCTTTGGCACATTCTTCTCCCTGTTGCTCTCATTCACCTTCAGCTTGACTAAAGACAGTGTGTTCTTCCATTCAAAGAGCAACGGAGGTCTGTTCATCCTAGGTTCTTATGCCTTGACAACGCCCTCCAAGAAAGCTCTACAGAGTCTCATCAACCATTTTGCCCAAGCCTGCATGGGGTTCAGCCTCAGCCCAACGAAGACCAACATCTTGGGTCAGGATATTGCCAGCACTCCACACATCAGCAGTGATGACCACATGCTTGAGGTGGTAGACCATTTTATCTGCCTGGGTTCCATCATAACCAGCAACCTCTCCTTCGATGCCGAGCATTGGCAAGGCAGCTACAGCAATGGCTCACCTCTCCCAAAGGGTATGGGAGAACGCGATGCTAAAGTCCAATACCATGATGATGGTCTACTAGGCTTGCGTGCTGAGCATGCTGCTTTATGGTAGTGAGCCATGGGCAACTTATACCTACCTCAATGCCTTCCACATGTGCTGAGTCAGGAAGATTTTGGGCACCGCTTGGCAGGGCAGAGTCTCAAACAAAGATGTGTTCTCCCAAGCCCACATTCCCAGCATGTTCACACTCCTGTCTTGGCGACATGTATGTTGGATCATGTCCACAGAATGGAAAATGGCAGGATCCCAAGAACGTGCTCTACAGGGAGCTGGCTTCTGGCACCAGGCCCATTGGCAGACCAACACTGTGTTATAAAGATGTCTGCAAACATGACATGAAGGTTAGCAACATCAGTTGCCTGTGGGAATCCCTTGCCTGGAGACAGACAGTCAAGTTGTATATCCATAGCAGTGCCAAGAGGAGGAATGAGCGCTGGGAGGAACCCAGAGAGAAGACATGCCATTGTATGCCTGTCACAGCGAAAGTGGATGCCTTCATCTGCCCCAGCTGCAATAAAACAGGTCTCTCCCATTTTGGTCTCTACAGCCACCGCAGGTGCTATAACTCTCCAACAGATGGAGGGCCCACTCCTCCATTGTCTCCTGAGACAGATGGATGCCAGCATGAAAATGTGCCATAAGTGCCTATTAATGGATAGTTTCTGTGACATCAGTTCAATGAGCGCCCCCGTACCCAGGCCTATGCAATAAGTTACAGGATCATCTATTTCCATGAGTCCCAGTCCCCGCTCCATGACTGCTGTGGTGGACATATCCAGTGCACATTCAGAGGTGAAATGAGGGCTCACCTTTTCTTTTCAAACACATCCCCTAGCTATTCCTCTCCAGCAAATTTCCACCTGCCTTCATTCACTTGGCGATAGAAGGTTTCTGGTTCTGGGGAAAGGCTCAGTGGAAGAGCACCCGCCTTGCCCACAGAATGTCTCAAGTTCCATCCTTCCAGGTAACTGTGGGAGATACCCCTTGTCTGAAATCTTAGAGGGCCACTGCCTATATGTGTAGACAATACTGCGCAGGATGGATCAATGGTGCAACTCGGTATAAGGCAACTTCCTGCTGAGTATACTTTTTTGCACTGACAATAAATGAGCACTTTTCTTGTTTCTGGAAAACTCATGATATTGACCCCTTTCCTTTTCCTTAAAGAGACAACCTTGCATCAAAATTGACATTACAGCTTAAAAGAAAGCCCTTTCGGAGAACTCTGCATTCCTGATCGCCATAGTGCGTCGTAGAATCCCATCCTTTCTACTCCCATATTTTTGGAGGAATACAGAAGAAACTGAACTATGTGTTAGATGGAACCATTTTCTCAAGAGCAGGGGGGAATCCTGCATTTGGCTCTTCTAGCTGGGCTGCAAGCTGTAGAACCCTACTGCAAGAAATCCACTTCTTAAAAATGGGTTTTTTGTTTTTAGGGAAATGGCAGAGAAGTGCACTGAAAATTAAAAGTCAATAAAAATAAAGCTGGTCCTAATTCTATTTGTTAATTGGATTATTCTTTCCACAGCATATTTTATTTGTGTCCAAAATTTATTTGCATTCTTGCAAATCCACCATAAATTACGGTGTGTGTGTGTTGAATTTCAATATTTGATTCACATTTCCACCATCTATTGTCCATACTTGTGCTAATCTTGTGAAGCATGTTCCATCAAGTTACTACTATAAAATAGATTTGTTTTGTACAAGTAGAAATGAAAAGTTTTGCCTAAGTTTTAAATATACCGTACTTCCAGATTTCAAACGTTGTTGATACCCCTGGATCTTGTTCCCAACTTATTTATCAGCAGACCAAGTGACCACTAGTGACCCTTCCAACTCCCAGAATCCCATTACTCTACGCTGCCTGCAAGCCAGGCCAGTGAATTTCACCACCCCGGTCTTTTCTGTGAAATGTAATACTGTCTGCAGTGAGGAAAGGGATTAGCATTTCCAGCAGCAAAGCTGAACTCTTCCCCATTGTGTTTGTACTGTTGATGAATCGGGAGTAGCATTAAGTGGTAGGAGTGAGGAGGAAGGGGAGGAATTGATTGAATATGCAGTTAAAAGTGAATGTATCAAATTTGTAGTTTCCAAAACAATATGAGAAGTGAAACACAGACATCCTTTGGAAATGTGGACTTATCTGAATTTTGCAGTGCAATTCTCCAGCCACATAATGTGTACCTCCCCAAAGTGCATACACTCGTGTACATAAAAAATGCATACAAAGATGCATTATTAGGGAGAACTACTTTACAAATCACAAGGAGAAGGGGATGACAGAGGGCAAGATGGTTGGACAGTGTTCTCGAAGCTACCAGCATGAGTTTGACCAAACTGCGGGAGGCAGTGGAAGACAGGAGTACCTGGCGTGCTCTGGTCCATGGGGTCACAAAGAGTCGGACACGACTAAATGACTAAACAACAACAACTTTGCAAACATGTGTTGCATTGGGCAAAACTGCCTTTAAAAAAATTCACTAAAATGTGGGAGGATTTTCACTTTTAAACACACACACACACAGAGATATGGAGTTGTGGAGAACTGAACTTACAATTGGAAAGATGAGAAATGGAGAGAAACCAAAGCGGACTTATTGCCCCATTGCTAGTGCTGAGTGGGGCCACTCGCATTCCTCTTCAGGAGTGGGAGCCTGTATACTGCACAAATCCCACAACACTTTTCCCCCCAAAAAGATTGTATTGATTTTCCAAAAGATTTTTTTAAACAAACAAACAAACAAACAAACAAACAAACAAACATAAATCTCAACCGTATTAAACCAATCCTAGTGACATTGTTAAGTGACTTCCTCGTATCCCCCTAGTTGAATGTCAGTGTACAGTGGTGCCTCGCAAGATGAAATTAATTCGTTCCGCGAGTTTTGTCGTCTTGCGATTTTTTTCGTCTTGCGAAGCACGGTGTCGGAAAAGTTTTGGAAAAGCTTCAAAAATCACCAAAGTCTTCAAAAACCTCAAAAAAGGCTACCACACCGCGTGCTATGAGTTGCTCCTCGAAGTCAAGTCGCAACTGTATTAACGGTGTTAAGAAAAAGGAAACAAACTTGCAAGACGTTTCCGTCTTGCGAAGCAAGCCCATAGGGAAAATCGTCTTGCAAAGCAGCTCAAAAAACAAAAAACCCTTTCGTCTTGCGAGTTTTTTGTCTTGCGAGGCATTCGTCTTGCGAGGTACCACTGTATAGCATTTTAACAGTTTTCCAAAACCAATTTTCTCATAAAATTGACTTAATCACTTAACATCTTTCTATCTTTCTATTTTGGCATTAAACACATTAATTCCTAACATTACATATTTAACTCCTAAGCCTATCTAATATTTGCAAGCTTTTCCAATTAAGTTCCCACAACACTTTTTTTCATACTACGTATCGCTTATGACGGTAACCTTTCCTTACAGGATTATAACTTTCCGGGGATGCCTGCTGCTGGTAAAAGTTCTTCCTCTGCCCATAAAAGACCCTGCTGACTAACCGTTATGACAGGAAGGGAGCTGAATGGCAGAGTGACCTATTTTATTTCCCCCCACTGTCTGTCTGAGGTAAAGAAATGTGTATCTCAGATTTGACACAGCGTTCTATTTTTCTTTGTCAGGTAATACACCAAATGGAAATTATTATTACTACAAGCAGGGTCACAAGGAGTGTCTAAATGGATTCCCCACCTCTGCCTTTCCTTTTTGCTATCGAGGGCAGTTCCGGCACACATTGGCTGCCCTTTAAACCTAAAGAAATAGCATTCTTTGTGCTTGCGTCAATTAGATCCCCCCCGCCAAGTCATTGAGGGGGCATGGCGGGGAGGTCAGAGCTGATGTTGCTATCATATGGGTTAGGTCAAGGAATATCCCAAGGAAATCAGCTTGGACAACGCTAATTAAATTATAGATCAGGCTTTAAGAATCCTCCCGGGCACAAGGAACAGTTAACCAGGGTGGACAGAGATTAGTAGTCAAGGCAAATTTCTAAAAGCAATCTTCCCTTCATTGTTGCGCATACACACACAAACACACACAGCCTGGATAGCTCAGCTGGTTAGTGTGTGGGGCTGCTAACACCAAGGTTGCAGGTTCAATCCCCGTGTGGGACAGCAGCAGGTTCCTGCATTGCAGCCAGTAGATCATTTCCCCTTTATTTAGTCTTTGCTAGTTGCAACAGTTTCAGGCAGAAAGTATGGTGGGGAGGGAGGGAAAAGAGCCAAATCATGGATTAGGGATGTTCCCATGGGAAATAATGGAAATGTTCAGCTGCTTATGCAAACGCTCACCTACTGAACCATTTCGTGGGAACACATTGTGTTAAGAAAGTGGGACCTGAATGTACGTGTAAGTAAACCAGGCATAGGCAACCGAGGCCTCCAGCTGATTTGGGACTACAACTCCCATCATCCCTAGGACCAGTGGTCAGGGATGATGGTAATTGTAGTCCCAAAACATCTGGAGGGCCGAAGTTGCCTATGCCTGAAGTAAACCTTATATCACAAAGACACCACAGTCCCTGCTGTCCCTCATTCCAAGGAAACTGAACCCTGGGAAAGCGCCAGGAACCCCTGAAATCTCCCACTGCTAGGAGGTGGTCGTGTAGTGACTGGTCATATTGTTCAGATGCCTGATGATCGTCTTCCAAAGCATCTACTCCATTCTGAACTTTAAAATGGGAAGCGTAATGCTGGT